CAGGAAAAACAGAAGGTTCTATTGTATAGATGTCCAGTCAATTGTTTCCTGAAGCTGACTTTGACACACAGAACTGGACAGAGAGGAAGATGCACAATGTCACGCCTTCTCCTCTTCATGTCACTTGGGCATCAAGACCCAAAGCTCCCTTGCTCTCTTATGAAGACCATAAGCCATGTTCACAAGCTCCATGATGTGGCCTCTGCACAGCAGGTCATTTGGAGTTTTGTTCCAGCACCAAGTACTCTGTCTCTGACACTCTGGAGGTGTTGGTGAGCTGGGTGAGGCCCGTTTGGGCAGAATACTGGAAGGTGAAGGCCTTCATCAGCTTGCACCTGTACTTGTGGTTGATGAAGCTGTAGAGCACAGGATTGACGCAGCAGTGCACCAGGGACAGGCACTGTGTGACATGTAGTGCTGTGAAGAGTGTGTTCTCCAGCTGGCAGGTGAAGGGGAGGTAGTGCAGGATGGAGAAGATGTCCAGCAGCACTGCCACGTGGTAGGGGAGCCAGCACACAAGGAAGACCACCACAGAGGAAAAGATGATCTTCCGGATACTCTGATTCTCCTGATCACCAGAGGCTGAGATGGCCCCGGAGAGCAGGAAGTAGACAACAGTGATGATAGAGAAGGGGACAATGAAGCCCAAGACAACAGAGACAAGCTCCATGCCGATCAGCCACTCCTTGATGCTGTGCTCAGGGTAGAACGACCAGCAGTAGGTCTCGTTGTTGGAAGCAGACACCACGGACTTCAGGTAGTAGGTGCTGGGCAGAGACATGCACAAGGCCAGCAGCCACACCAGAACGCACACGATGTGGCGCACCATCTTCTTCCTGTGGCTGGAGGTGCTGGTGAAGTAGGTGATGGAGAGGTAGTGGTCCATGCTCATGCATGTGAGGAAGAAGGTGCCAGCCTTGCCCAACATCTGCAGCCACCAACGAGGGTCTTGGCTGCCACACAGGGCCCCATGGGTCGGCACCAGGGTCACAGCCAGCCCACCAGCTCAGGGGTCGCCACTCTGCCACTGACCATGGAGAGAAGAGCTCATCCCTAGTGGTCCTTTCATCCTGTCCACTGCTTGTGAACATGATCCTTGCCGCCAATCCTGTGGAACATGCCAGCCACATGGCTGCCCAAGCACAGTTTCTTCACCCTAAGCAATGCTTTTTTGTTTACCTGTCAGGCCACAAGCTGCTCAGTCCTCAACCATTTGCAGGAATGTCACGGGAGGCATCTAAGTGGAAACACCACAGGTCTTAGGCAGATGTCCCTGTCCCACCTGGCTAGGAGCATGGCAGCACAGTTCCCACGCCCCATCACATGTGAGGAAATGATTGCCTGCCCACAGCCACAGTGACCCAACAAGTTTGAGACCATGCAAAGCTGTTCCTGGTGCTTTCTACTCTCTGTAGTTCAGGTGTATGTAGTATGCCAACCTAGGATAGCCAAGGACAGGTGGGAAGCCTCAATCTGGGTGACCTCTCTGCAGCCCTGTTTGTACTTGACAGTCATCCTGAATCCTGCCACCATGGTGATTGTTGTTTGCATTTACTTCCTGGTGTTTATGATCATCCTGGGGGTGTTTCAGATCTGGGCTGCACATCAGTGAATCATGTGGGACCAGGACACGGGTGAGGAGAATGAGATGGATGGCTATGACTCTGCCTTGACCATCACCATGAACTCCAAAAGGAGGTAGGAGCAGACAAGGCCCCAGGCTGCAGAGCATGTAGGCCAGGCTCCTCCATGTCCATGTGCCTGCACCTTATAACCACACAACTTGGTGAGCTAGGAACTTCAAATCCAGGGTGGTGATTTGAGGCTCAGTGAGGCCTTACTGAAGTTCATACAACCTAGTAAGTGTAAGTGCAGAGATGAGCTGGCTTCAGGCTGGTGCTCCTCCCACTCTATGCAGAGACAATTCTCCAAGGAGGGAACTGATCATCCCCATCCAGGAGCTCTCTGCATGCCTGGAGTCCATGGAGAGGCCACTCCCAGTGAGGCCTAGGCCCCTTTCCTGGGCAGTCTCCCTCACTGGGGAGCATCTCCCTTCTGCTGCTGCTCCTAGGAGGTGGACACTGGATGACTTGGCCATGAGCTGGACTGGCACATCCCTCTCTTTGCAGACCTACCAGGACCAGCACAGTGGTAAGGAGGAGGAAGAGGAAGAACAGCGTGAGTTTTGAGAGGAGGAGGAGGAAGACATCACTACTGACCAGTGGGAGAGCTTCAAGGAGAAGGAGGTTGGCCCTGGGGACAGTCAGAACTCCAATCAGCATCAGCAGCTGAAGTGGGAAAACTCCACACTCAGCTACTGAGTGCAATCTGGACTCTTGCATCTCCACCTCAGAATGTCTGCTACCCATCTCCCAGCCAGTATGTCCTCCATGTAGAAAATCTCTTCAGCCAGCAGGTCTGTGGACTCCCATTGCTAATTATCCTCCCATGCCCAGTGTGTGGGACTGTAGGCTCCCACCATTTGCCCACCCCTGCTGGATCTCTTTTCCCCAAAGCCAGGAGCTGGCTCTTCCTCCCTGCCACCTCCTGCCAGCTCAGGGTCTGCATCACTCCAGGCTCCTGCCATCCAGTGAGTTGCCCACCTCTTGCACCTCCAGAAAAGTTGGAATGACTAGACTAGCTGACAAAGAGTAAAAATTGGTACTCATTTTTTCTTTCTTGAAGGTCTTCATTTTTTTCCAAACTAGTGCTTTTACAAGTGGTTAGAAGGGGGTTAATATGTATA